CAGAAAAAGCCACAGGCACCAATCACCAGTCGATTGACATACGGAAATTTTACCTTAGAAAGTACTTCAGAGCAAAGGAAAACATTTCAGCTTCTTTATTCAATAGAATATATCCAATTGATACATTGCTACTTATTTCTTTTAATCTTCAAATAGTATGGCTGGAATTTGGACATCTAATTCCATTAAGGGCTTTCGAAATTCCCAGTCTATGTGAGTGTTGCTCATGTGGCATAAGAGCAAAAGCATATAACATAGCTTGCAAAGTTAGCAGTTCCATGGAAAGTTTATAGGAGATATGGTACAAGACTTGACGCTGACCATATTGTTACAGTTGGCAAATATCTGCATACAACAAACATTAACATCTGTAGAGCAGGAAAATTCCCCTTCAGGATCAAACTCTCAAGCTTACAATACTGGTTGTTTTATTGCAGAACTCAAGTAAAATATTCTTAATTATCAACAGACCCAATCTTCGTTGGGCTGTTCTAAGATTTGAAAAGCCATTCCAGACCAGTTTTTCTGACAGCCATTGTCCTGGGCACTGTTGCAGCTGGAGGGATGAGGAGGGAGGCTGTCAGGGTGTCTCCCTCCCCACTGCTTACCCTATCTCTATAGAGCAGGGCAGGACATGACAGGGCTCAGGAGGGAGGGAGTTTGGTGGCAGCAGCTGCTGTCTTAACTTGCTGATCTACTTAAAAAGGCAGTGTACTTAGAGTGGGGTCAGCTTACTTAAAGCTCTCTCTCTCACACATACACACACACACACACACACGCTGTGTGTCGCTGGCTATCCCTCCATTTGTGCTGCCTTGTAGAGTGTGAGGCTACATTAACAATAAGGTGTTAACCCTTGAGGGCTCAGCCAAGTGCTAGTTCATCATTTAGCAGTAAGGCATTCCCTGGGAAATATCCCACCCTCTGACTTCACCACCTCAACCAAGCTTCACAATCATCATTGCTGTGTACAGTATTAAATTGTTTGTTTAAAACTGTGTCTGTGTCTGTATTTTGACTGGTGAAAACAATTTCCCTGGAACCTAACGCCCCCCCCCCCATTTACATCAATTCTTATGGGGAAATTGGATTCACTTAACATCGTTTCGTTAAAAGTCACATTTTTCAGGAACATAACTAGAACATTAAGCGAGGAATCACTGTAGCTTAAAGATATAGAACAAAGCGGTTGGTACAGTTGGAGGGGAGACAATCTGGACTGGACGAATAATACAGAACAGAGAGGGGTAACCACTCCAAAATAAAAAAAATGGAAAATGAAGAACGAATCCATTGAAGGAGAAATCCACATGGGTAGAGAATATATGAGTGGCTGCCTCTTGTAGTCACCAGTAGACTAAAAACTAGTCTGCTATCCTCCCCATGCACATGCTGGCAGGGTGTAAGGGTAGTGAGCAACTTGGCCCCGCACACACCACCTCTAACAGACAATTACATGCAAGCGGGAGGCTGTTAGGGGAAGGAAAGTTGTGTGGGAAACGAGGATGATAGGAAACTTATAGGGCCCTCCATTGGCTCATATAGGCCTCCAAACTGCTACACATTCATGTAAGTCCCAAAGCTTTTGAGGTTCTCCCACCACCAATGTAGGTATTGTTATAACCACCATAAAGGAGGATTTATTAGCAATTTTGAAGTTCCTGATCATTTTATATTAAAATAAACTAAAATTCACCAGGATGACCTCAGAACCCTTGTGCTTGGCTCATTTGGAGACATGTCCATGGGGAGAAAAAAAATACATATAATCGGCAACTATGTATATATTATACCAGTAAAAGTACCTAATTGGGTTTAAATGAGTTATAGAGTGATTAATATACTTAGATGTTTCTAAAAAGTTCTCCCACACCATCTAGTTGCCTAAAAATCATCTCTTTGCCCTTTCCAGGGCTGTGCAAAAAAGTTTTCAGGCTACAGTTAGATCCCATGTATAAATCATATGGTATTTTATAACTCTTAACATTAAGGATGGGCAAACTGGTCCAGAAAACATACAGACAATTTCATTATTTGAGCATTGCACTTTACAGACATTCAAAATAAGGCCCCCATCCTAAGCAGCCTACTGTCTAAATTAAACAACAATATGGATAATTACATCAGACTACAAAAGAAGAGGCTGGAAAGGAGGATCAGGACTCTGCCAACACATTCATAATTTCATTTTAGGGCACATTATAAGGCCCACTCATTTCAACAGCCCTGTCTTTACTGGGCCCCATCCTTTGTTTTTTTAGTTATTTATTTTTTAAACTAGTTAAAGCCTTTCTTAACCCTGTTTTTGTGTTACGTGTAGCTTATTTCCTTTTAGATGATGGGGTCCCTCAACCCTAAACTATCCTTGTGTATGCTTGAGGAGCTTTAAAGCCTACATAACAAACAAAAGTATCCAGGGATAGTTTTTGACACACATCTAAAACCCATCATCCTCCCCCATTAAGCCCACCCTATGTCTAAAAACATCAACCCCCTACCCCCACCTACACATACAAACACGCATACCTCGGGTGTCAAAGCCCAAATAACCCTGATTTGTAAGAAGTTCCCTGCTTGACCAAATGCATAGTGAACTGGGGTCTTATGATGATTATGATTACAACAATGACAACATTATCCTTTCCATATATCAGGAGCCTAATAGTTTTAAATCCTGTCAGCAATTTATTAACTAAAAAACCTTCAAATAGCCACTAAGTCAAATATCATAACCATAATCTCGCTGAAGCGTCTGCCATGCTTTAAAGCAAATATCATTGCTTAAAATTTAGTAGATCCAAAATGAAACATCACAGAGTACGCATTAATATATATAGACACACACACACCACATCAGTTGTGTGTCAGCCATAAATGTATTTTATTTTTTTGTTGCATTTCCTAAGCTCCACAGAAAAACCAACAAACACGTAAACTTGGATTAAAAGTAAAATAAAGATTTAGCGACAAATGCTTTCAAAATTATTATGCACTACTTCACCTAAACTTGGCATGTAGTAAAACTTGGGAAGAAAAACGGCCTAGACACATGCAGTGCTCAGAGACAAACTTTCCAGAAAATAGACAAGTTTGTAAAATTGCTGGAGATTAGATCTGTGACTCATTAGTATTCCCTTCATCCCTTGAGAAAGCAGTTGTACCATGATGAGTCTCAAAAAATGCTTTAAAAATTGTTGGTATCTGTAATTAGGTTCAGCACTCTCTTCACATGATGGCACCATTATCAGCCTGCTGCAGTTCCTTTCCATGATAGCCCTTGTTAAACTATTAACTTTCCTCTTTTATAAGCCAGTATGAACACTATTTATTAGGACACACATTAGAACAGCAGCCTATAATCTGTTTGCATCTGCATAGTGGGTTTCATTGCCTGGAACAGTTATCTTTGAATTGACACCCACCAAGGCTCTGCTCAAGGAATGCAGAATTTTGCCTGATACATGGGCAAGCCTATACAGAAAGAACATCTTATTACCCCCATGCAAAGCCTCTACATTCATGGTGGTAGTTCATTTTTTCAGACAACTAAGCAAGTGAAACATTTGTCACATGTTGTATTATCGGTATTTGTGAAAGACTTCTATGCCAGTTTCCGCTAATGTCTAGTACACAATTTGGGCAGATATATGTGTTCAACACAAGCTGCCAGTCCATGATTACTGGTACAACCAGTTTCAAATAATTCTAGACAGTCTATTCGACAAGATCCCTCCCATCAAACTGCAATGCACATCTCTCTATAGACACCAGGGTATTATCACACACTAACATGGTACAGAGGTAACTTTGGGTCACTTTCTAGGACCTTTCAAGGCTCAAATGGTATTGCTCTTTGCTCCTCAATCCACTGTTTCTTTTCATTTTTTTCCATTTAAAACCCGGTTTTGCATTTTGGTTCTACTAAAATATGGCTCAACTTTAAATCTGCACACCTCAGAAACATTACTTGCTGGGTTTATTACTAGAAATCTTACTTCCCTTTATTAGACCAGCTTCTAATATCATTGCAGTGAAACAGAATTCAAGGAGGATGGAGCTCTTGGTTTTGCAGCTGAGATTCAGAGCTCCACAATGGAAAATGTTTTCAGCCCTGTGAGCCACTTTTTGTGCAGCCCTTTCTGACAGATATAGGAAACTGTGTTAAATCAGTGATCTGAAGGGGTTTCCATTACTCTAAGCTTCAGAAAGATTTGAAGTGGTGGCCCAATATAATAGGTTAGACAGATAAGAGTTCATATCTGGAAGGCCAGCAGGTAGGCCAAAATAAGAGGGGAACGTATACAGGTAAATTATGGGACTGAGGAAGCCCTAAACTTTAATCACAAAATGCAGCTGTATTACAGCAAGGCAGGAGAAGAGATTTAGAAGCAATAAAATAAATATGAAGATTTGGACAAATAAATATGTATTATCTTTGTACTTTTTTCAGAGAAATACTTTAAATATTCTATCATTAGAAGACTAAATGACTCATCCTGAAGTTCAACATTTACGCTCTCTCGCAATTACTTTCATAGCATCTCTGCTCAGTTTACAAATTAAATGGATTCTTCCAACAGCCAGCGCTAGAAACTCAACCTTGGATTTGAAAGCAAAGCAGTGTTTTCTGATTCATCATGAGTAAGAGATGCTGGAATTCAATTTTAGGCCCTGATCTTACAGTTGACAGTGCAGAAAACAGAGTGTTGTGCCCATCCGAGCCCATTGATTTCAACATGGCTCTGTGCAAATGCAGCAGTCCATCCACTCAAGTGCAGGATCAGAACTTTAGAGCACTGTTTTATTGTTCAAGAAAGATGCCTAATACAATCCAAATCATTCTCCAATAACTCTAATAATATGAATGTTTTTTATATTATTTACGTTAAGTAAGCAGATATCACAACACAAACCCTTCAACAAGCAAATAATGTTTCTACATAGTTATTTTTCTGACCATACCTACAACCCAAAAAAGTTAAGAAAAAGAATCAGCTTACCCATCTACAAGTCCTTGCTGTAAAATAAGTCGTTGAGCTTCATCCCTAGAGATTTTATGGTGAAACCACAATTGTGTTCTGTGTATAGCTAGAAAAATTATAAAGATCTTTGTTTTAACAATATTGTTTTATCACAAACATTATTGCATCTCTTCTGCGGCTGTAAATTAACTCACACATACCTACACTGGATGTGGCGCTTTGAGAAGTGGTAGGACTTCCATGTGTGTTGAGTCGTAAACACCCTTTTCTCTGAGTGGGAGAGAAAAAAAAATGTGTCAAAGCTTTCTGTGTGAGAATAAAATTAGAAAAAATACTTTGAAAAAAGTAGAGGTGTTTATACCCGCCATGCTAACCCTTCTTCAACTGCAACTGAAAGGGCTTCTGTTGGATTTTCAATAACTCTGCTTCTATGTCCTGAGAAGTCCATTGCTACCAAGGAATTTTCTGAAATGCTTCTCTGGGGGAGGGAGGGGGCAAAAAGAGGGGAATTCAGATTTGAAAGAAAAAAAAAAAGTTTAGGAGGTTTCTAAACCTTATTTTGAAATATTATATTTTGCCAGTTGTGTTTCAAATTTTTGCAAGGCTTTCCCCTCTCAACCAAGATTTGTTTCACTTTGGACAACATTTGTAGTTCTAATTCTCTTCAAGGGGGACTATCCAGCTGAACTTTAAGGTTTGGCCAGTCGGCAAGATAATTGTGGGAGGAAGGAGAAGGTAATGGCTACTTAGTATTGTAAGACTTATAATGTGTCTTGTTTTTGCATCACTGCAGCCTATAGTACCTGGTCTGAAGATGCTTAAGCTACTGAAGACTGGTCCTCACCAGCTGTAGTTGAGGCTGTGGATTTAAACTATCTCAGCTTGCTATTTATGGCTAGTTAAGACAGTTGTCATGAGACACTGGACACAAACTTTTGCTTTGCTTACTTCAAACGAAAGCCTTCATCTACCAAAAAAGCCACACAGGTCGGAATTTGAGTATGTAGTCTCATTAATGCTATCAAACTAGATCCCTACAAAATAACTGTACTCACACATTGAGAAGTAATTTCAACTTCCCTGAAACTCAAATACGGTTAAAAAAAAAACCAAAAAACCAACACAGTGAACCACTTCCAAAGGACTAAACATTTCCAAGACGATTCTGTAATATTCCATCGCTGTTCTGTGACTCTGATACATTAAGAGAGAGGGGAAGTCAAACAAGGATGCAATTTCCTTTTCAATGGCCACACTGAATAGAATAGAAAAAGATACGGAAAGAAAACTGCAAACCATGAAAAAACAATGCAACCTTTTTGATGGCTAAATCATGCACTGATGTGACTGCTATGGTACAGTTGTGAAAATATAGCTTTTTCCAAGGTCCCATCTAAATTTAAGAGTGGATAGACGATGGGCCTACCTACTATTACTGCTTTTGAAAACTGCTAAACATGCACCACTTAATATGATTTGGTACTCAAAATGCAGACCTCTTTCAAACAAAACAGAGCTACTCAACTCACTAAACTTAGTTCCATGTGACTAGGCAGGCTGAGATGAGGTATGGGGAGGAAGAGAGATTATTCCATTCAGGAAACCCACTTTGCTACACAAGTAGGAGAGCCTATTAAAACTCCACACTTCAGCATGGACTCATCTGTGTCCAAAGCTGTGACGTAGCATGGCCAGCCTGTACAGGCTGAAGTTAACCATGTTTAGACAAGGATTTTTCTGCTAGTGCTCAAAGAGCCAAAAAGGCTTATTTTTTTGAGACATCAAGCCTTTCTGCAATAGAAGATACCAATAACAATCTTATTTTTATTGTGTGGCTTTGGCACTTTCCTTTCTGTTCAAAAGCCCTTTACAACACCCCTAAAACCAGGAAGGGAAATTGAGATGTCCTTCAGACCCTTGGAGAAAGATTCTCATACTCTAGTTTGTTTCTCCCCCATCTCTCTCCCCCATCCCCTATGCCATTAAAGTCAACCAAAATTGCGAAATACTTGGGGTATGTGTGAATGTACACTCGGCTTCACAGTCTAAACTTCCAATAGAAGTTTCTGTGGGACCACTAAGAGGAATTGAGTAATGTTAGATTGTATGCCTTAATGGATTGTAAGATCTACTTTAGTGCTTTCTGTTAAGCTCCTGGCTGTTATGAAGGAGCATAAAAACAGTAAATGCAAGTTCGTGTATAAAATATTCTAACTGAGGGGCAGGTTTGCGAGACGGAAGTAATTTAATGTTTTATGTAATTGAGTAAACATGGATTCATGGACAGGGAAGACTCAAAGTTAGCACAAGCACTTGTATCTTAGGCATTCAGGTTTATAAATTGAGCTTGATACTAAGTACACTAGCTCCACAGTAACCATTGCTGGGCACTGGGATATAAATAAATAGAAAAACCCCTACCCTTCTATAATTTGAAGCAATGTGCAGAGAACAAAACACGTGCCTAACCAAAAATCTCTGCCCTTAAAATATTCCTATTCAGTTCCAACCCTAGAAAGATTACTTTAGAACTCAGATAAATGGAAGTAGAAGAGATTTCAACAACATGTATTAGGACAGCCTATCCTATCAAAAATATTTAATTGCAATTACTTCATCAGAGATCACAACTGAATGACTTCAAATCCTGGGGCCATATCCTGAGCTGAAGATTGGGCCAATGAATTACAGCCTACTTAAACTTTTACCAAGGTACAAACAAGGACTGGATAAAAGGCAATGTTTGCCTGTAGGGGAGTTTAGAGAATGGGACCTGCATTGCTGAGACAGTTGTGAACTATTATTCAGGGATGTGAAAAATTAACTGCTTTTTATACTGAGAAGGAATATACAGAATAATCTCAGTTTGATCATTTATATTAGTCCTTTTTCAAGAGTGCTGCTGGACTGATTGGTGAATTGCTTAATATTCCTCTTAGCTAGAGCATGGTTCAAATACAGGGCTAGATTCTCTCCTGCACCAAGATCCACTCGGCACAGAAAGAGACACAGGGGGAGTGCATGTCAGGGAATCAGTAAGGGCTTCCTGACTGGCTCAACCTCCGGCTCCAATGTCAATAAGGGCAGCTGATCATTCTCCCTAAAGATTTTGGTAAGTGCTTAAAATGAAGCACACACACAAACGTTTCTAGGATCACAGACACAGGTTCCATTGCTTCTGCCATAGGTTCCATTTTAAGAAGTTTATTTGCTCAATAAGTTATTACAGTACATACCATAGGTGATATAGTCAGAGAACTGCAGCCACCTCTACCTTGATATGGTTGCATGTAATTCTGATACAGCTGCATTCCATACTAGAATCAAAAAATAACGTGCCTTATCACTATTAGTTTATTGTGGGGATTTTTGTAGTACCACCTTGAAGTACTAAATAAAAATGATTATACAGGAGCTCCTGAATACTATACAATGGATTTCATTTTGAAAGATTTTGACTTTTATTAGCTTAATTAATTTAAAAATAGAACTGCCTGCACAGACAACAGGAATCCTTTCCTTAGAAATATATTTTTCCATTATTGTTTTCTGCCACTACATTTAAGAGAATTCTCTAAGTCCAAAACTGGAATGTATAAATTTTGCTCCCCTCAAAAAAAAAAAAAAAAAAACACAAAAAGTTGACCAGAATGAGTAAATGGCTACAGTTTTCATTTTCTTAAGAAATAACGTACATGTATGTTAATTCTAGCCATTTATAGGCACCATATGACCCATTCTGCCTACTTTGCAACTAAAAACAGGCTCTTCTACCATTCAAATAAGTTCTTGCATCATAATCAGGGCCAGCACCAGTAGCAGCAATGCCAGCTTTTTCTATTGTACTGGAAATTCAGTATCTATCTTCTTTATTGGGAGAAGTCAAAAAGAGCCCACAGTGTACAAAATTAAGGATTTGTATTACACTGAAACCTACAAGTAACCCTTGCTTCTCTATTCCAGAATGTAAAAACACTTAACCTAGTAAATTACTGGCAAGAAATTAACTTCACAGAAGATTGTACCTTAAGTAATCTAATTGCTGTCATCCAGCAGGTCCTACTCTGCTCATCATCTGCACAAAGCTGCTTCAGGTCTCTGACGCCTCCTGCTTTGTTAGGCTAGAAGGCCACAGCACATTGTTTATCATTAATGCATATCTTGCAGATAATACCTGTTGAAATAAAAGCCACTAATTCTCCTATTTTATAATAGACAGCTGAATCTTTTTTTAAAAAAAATCTCATAGAAACTTAAGCTTACCTAAGAACTGTGGCTTGCTTTAGCATATATCTATCAAAATATTAAGCCTGTACCTTAAAGCAGAATCCATAGTTTGCTGGTGTTCCAGACGTCTTTTTGCCTGCCAAAGACATATACATATCACTACTGCTGAATTCACTGAAAAACTGCAGATGTCTTGGTTCCTGAAAGGAAAAGCAATATAAAACAATTAGACCTTTTTGCTTTATTATAAACCAATGAAGGAAATAATAAATAACTATATGAAAATCAGAAAAATATTAATATTTATACAGTAAATTATTTAAATACATGATAAATATCTCTCCTGGAAATATACTACAATTCATATTTAAAAAAATAGTTCTATCTATGCTAAAAATACATCCCTATCAACCACTCAGGTTTACATGTGCCTAGGCCCTTACCATCAATCAAGTTATGTGCTTTCCATCTATGAGGCTTTTATATATCTGATCCAAATCAGATTTGCATGCACCCAACCCTATTAATCACGTTAGTTTGCACCTGGCCTCCATCAATAAGGTTTGCGCACAACGCATATATTTTTCATATATAATGTGAACAATGGCCAAAAAATGGCCCTAAATCAAAAACTAAAAGCTTCCCTGTTGCATCATATCTCCTCAAGTCCTAACTTTCTAACAAGCTTTGCGTTGATAGATAGTATTTTTTGAGATATCACTCAACAGTGAAAAGCAAACCTCGCAAGAAAAACCATTCAAGTGGAGCTTAAATCCTAACTATTAAAAATGCACGAGGAGAAACCAAAACCATACTACACAGAAAATTGAAAGGGTATAAAAACTAACCTGGTGTGAAATGTCACACCAACTGGCCACCTACTTTTAGAGAAATAGGAATTTTTACTCCATTTTAAGACACAAACTTGACTGCATAACGTGATGATTATCTCATCATCCAGCATTTCCTTGTGAAGAGGCTGGGTGGAGGAATTGTTTGTTTTGGAGGGAGCTGCTTGTTCCTTTTGCGGGGAGGGGGAGAGACGACAACTGTATAGCAGTTTTAAATTACGTTCTGTGCATTTGCCCTAAGACACAATAGCAGCATTCCTCTTGTAAATAAAAATACCACACACACACAGCTTAAGGAAATTTACAAAAATTAAACTTGCAATTTACCTTTAAAAGGAAACTAACAGTAAGTTAGGAAAAGCGTAATAAAAAAAGAGAAAGTTACACAGAACATTTTCAGGGAGAGAAACACTGAGCACTTCTCCTTTTAGACAGATAGCCTCTTTAAATACCAATAACTACACTCATCTGAGGCTCTTATCTTGTTCCAAATGGCAGCTTTCCTGATACTATGACTGTAGAAGTTGAACTGACTGAAGACATCCAGAAAAAGGCCACTGAACAGCCTACCTGCTGCAGCAGAGGAAAATGCCCAAAACTAGACAAAGCCAAAAAAGCAAACTTTCAATTTTTTGTGAGAAAAATATGTAGCACCAATGAACTGATTTCTGGAAAAGCATATGAGATATAAGCCATAATGCTTAACGATTCATTACATCTTAAAATGTAAGAACTTTTGAAGTCACTTTGCAGTTTATTTTTAATTCCCTTGTTTAAAACACATCATCTGAACCAAGAAAACAACATATTTTAGCCATTACTGTCCAGTCCCATTCTAAATATTAGTTCTATTCCCCAAGCTGAAACCAGTCAAGTTTCTTTTGTTTGATTCTTTGTCTCCTCAATTAAATGAGGATAGCTGTGGAAATACTTTGACAGCTAACACAGAAGTTCAGATGGACATAAAACCATTTTTTCCTAAGTGGGTTACATAAAAGTTCTCTCCTCTCCAAAGCACCCTGTTTAACAGGTGTCAATAGTTATGCTTCCAGTATAGAAAAAAAATTGAACAAGTAAAGTGGGGAGGAGGTATGGATACAAAAGGCCATGATAAAAAGTGAGGCGCTCCAAACATTTTCCTACAAATTATTTTTCTGCAAATTTTCTCCTTTCATTTGCTTCAAAATAAATACATGCTCTGAAAGACAGGTCCAAATGGTACATTCAGGAACAACAGTTAACGTTTGCTTATGTTCTCACCCTTCAAAATTCTCAACCAGTACATCTGAAATGCAGAATTTATTTTTGAAGAGCTCTGGTGTTGACTGACTGAAAAATAAATTTAAATTAATACAATCAGAATGAACCAGACTTGTTAGGCCAGAGTACTCGGGTTTATACAGGAAATTCTAATTTATTCTGAAGCCCTGTTCTTACATATCCTTACTCCCATCAATCACATGTTTTATCCTTAGAATGGACACTTGAATAGGAAATTTGGGAGCAAGGTTTTTTCCTTTAATTACTATGGATTGAAATAAAATTAGGTTAAAAACTACCGCAAATGAAAATACATCTATCATATTTTAGTCTTACCTTTGATGTCCCTTTAGTGGAAAAATACAGGCCAGATCTTCTCAAAAGAAAGTATAATTTTTTCCATGATGATTTCTTCCCCTGCTCCTTTGCATGCAAATAACCATGAATTTCAGGATATGTGCTGGAACTTAGGAACATCTGAAACAAAATATTGCATATGTATTTCCCACCTGAAGCCAGCTCTCTCTTCTATTGACATACTATTCCACAGTTTTGCCAACATTATACCAAAATTTAAATGTTTAAAAATTAAAAATACACACTTCAAAAATGGAAAATTATACACATGCCTCAAAACAGGGGGACCATCTACTTACAACAGCACAGAAGACACTGAACAAAGCTTCTGGTAACTAAAGGAAGAGGTTAATCCTTCAAAGATTTATCAGAAATTTAGAGAAGGCAATAAATAACACTATATAAAATATAAAACCTAAGTTCTTGCACCCTAAAAGAAAGAACAGCCTTCTACAAACTTGAAAGTTCAGACAGATATTCATGGCAGTAGTTTGTAAGATTAAAAACAATGCTTTAAGGTATTTTGTTTGTTTTTGTTCTATTTTTAAAAGTGGTGGGTTAATGCCATATCTCCCAATTCTAACTCCCGCCAGCTGATAAACCACTGGAAAGGAAACAAGTTAAGTTTATAAGAGGTAGGCACATGCCATCATTTGGGGGTGACGGAGCATATCACCACTTATACATACAACCCCTCTCACTCTACCTCACACAAACCCAAACATACACACTTTGAGCATTGACAGAAAATTAAAGTGTGCATAAAGTGACCCTGAAATCAAAGCTAAATTTCAAACCCTCTGGAAAAGAGCCTTCCTCCTTCGAAAAAAAATTTAGCTGCATTATTTTGCAAGTACATTAGACTGAGAAATATTCCAAGTCCTTGACAAGGTAAAAATTTGTTATTCCCTAGAATAGTTTGCAGATATCTACACAGTATGCTACCACAATGTTCTGGTCCAATGTGACGCTATACAACATGAAGACAAGATGCAAATACCATTTTATGAGGGAATTGACTAGCCAGATAAAGGGAAAACACTCCCATGCTCACTAGTTCATGAATCCCTTGTTATTGGACGAATTTTCTAAAGGAATATATCATGCCTTTTGAAAATCTGACAGAATGCCCAAGAAATTGTATCAGATACTGGAACACTTCCTAATTCAAGGCAGCTCCAGGCCAGGGGTTAATCCATTTGCACTAAAACTGGAAATAAGGAATACATTTTTAATGGTGAGAGTAATTAGCCATTGGAACAGTTCAGCAAGGGTCATGGTGGATTCTCCATCACTGACCATTTTTAAAACAAGATTAGATTTTTTTTAAAAGCTCTCTATGCTCTGCCCTGTAAATCTATTAAGGAATTGAGGAAGTTCAATGGCCTGTGCTATACAGGAGGTCAGATTAGATCATCACGATGGCCCCTTCTGGACTTAGAATCTGTAAACTATGAGCCAATTAACTTCCGCTTGTAGGGAAAGCTGGAGACAAAAAGCTGCGGGCAGAATCCAGGAGAGCAGGAAGTCAGAACAAAGTATCAGGCACCTGGTTGCAGAAAAATGGCTAATTCCATCAGGAAATATGCTAAATTCTTATGGCTACCGAATCACTGAGCCCATAGAGCCTTGAATTATATTAGAGCAGTGTGTATCTCAGAGCTATTGTTTCAGCCTTGCTACAGATTCAGACAGACACATTGCTTTAATTACCATTCATTTCATGTTTCTGAGGTTTGCCCCATGGCCATAAGAGCTAAACACATTTTTTAAAATGAAGAGGAAAGATTGTGGAGCACAATTCTGCAGCAAAGGTTAAATTCCTCAGTAAAATTTTTGCCCACAGAATTGTAGAATAGACAAGGTCCTCTATGTCAATAGTCCCATCAACAGGACTATACATGCACAGAACAATCTCAGAATCAGGGCCTAGAGTTGCTTACGCAAACTGTTTTCCAGCTTTGCTCACAGTTGAAGGGAACAACATCTCCATTGCAATGTAGGCACTGTTCCACAACACAGCTTCATTTCAGTAGCCATAAGTGATATTTATCATGCAAGAGTGCACTTGAAGGAGGCATAAAAATTGTGATTGGTGAAAAGAAGGAAACACTAATTTTGCTTTCTTATTGCTTTTGGTTTTGAACGTTGCTTGATGAGCCCACAAAAATCAAATAATGCGGGCTTCTAGAAGCAAGAAGTTTGAGGCAAAGACATTCTAATCTCAACTTGAAAGTGTACGTGTCTGAGATATTATCAAGGCTAAGAAGGTTTTTCGGCAAATGACAAAAAGGAAGATCAATAACGTAAACATACAAATACATTATTTTTCAGGCACATGTGAGAGTGAATAAAAACACTATATTAAAGCTGTAATTTAATTCTACAGACCAAGTTCAAAGGGAGGCTTTAGGAGAGTTTGAAAGATTGAGGGTATGTCTACACTAGAAATAGTGCAGTAGCACAGCTGCAGTGCTGTGGTATAGACTTACAACAGTGATGGAAAGGAATCTTTGGTCGCTGCAGTAAATCCACCTCTCAAAGGCAGTGGAATGGAAAGAATTCTTTGGTCATCCTAGCCTTGTCTACACTGGGGCTTACGCACCTGAATGATACAGCTAGGTCAATCTAACTGTCTCGTACAGTCCAGCTGTTGATTTTCTTCAGGGAGATTGTGAGGAAGAATCTCTCTCCCCGCCTCTCCCTGATGGCTCTTAAATTTTAGTACCTTTGCCCATTTTGTCTGAAGATTCAAATAATGGCTCCCTAACCCCATAAGACACCCATTTTAGGCCCTGTATCCTGGCACCTATCCTCTCACTAGGAAGATACCCATGACAAAATGATAACCAAAACATCATTCCTTCAACAGCAGGCCAAAGTTGCTGAAAGCAAAACAAAGCTCTGCTTTAGCAACCAACATTGCACCCATACTAGTGTTATCAATTTAAAGTAGTCCACAACAACAGTACTTGGAATGAGGCAAGACTAAATCAGGTTTTTTTTCTTCCCAGGATAGCAAAAGATTGCATGGCAAAACACATCATGACTAACAGCATCAGACAAAATCATTACTGCCATGATGAAAGAATACTGAAAATCCTAGACAACGATAAGAATAACCTGCTCTTTGGGTTATGGAGTTGTAAACGATAGTAGGATGATAAATATACTCTGATCAAAACCCAACCAAGTTGAGACCAAAGTTTATCACAGCTGGAAGAAATCATCAATGACAAAGAAAAGCTTTATTAGGGAGCCAAGTAACACTGGGTAAAAAGTATAGAAAATTAGAGGATTCCTCTCAAAAAAAGGATGGGTTGGTTATATAAAATGCAGTAATATTCAATGTATTTTACTCTATGGGGATGAAGTATACAATATGATTTATAGCAAATGAACTGTAAATATCATTGGTGTAAAATGTCATTATGTATTACAGATTCTACTATACAACAGCATCACAGACATTTATAACTTGGTTTGTACGTCTGTAAAGCCTACTTAAAGAGAAATGAATTCAGCAGGTAACACAAGGATGCAAACTCAAATGTCTGAGATGAACATAAAAACTAAGGAAGAGGAAAGTTAGAAGAGGTAGATGTTCTTGCATGAGAACATCTCGGCCTAAAGTTATGTTTCCCCTTATATAATCTTATTCATTATTATATCCCCCAAACTTACAGTGAAACATCTGAAGTGCTAGAGCAGTTAACAGTGCCCTTGAAGTTAGATGCACCATCTTGCTTCTTGAGCAGAGACCCTGACTCTCACAGATGAAATGGGACGAAGACTAATTTCAGAGAAAACCAGCTTCTTTTTTTTTAAACTTTCAGATTTGAATTAGAGCCTTTGTGTCTCCAGTTTGTACCCAGACTGCTTTTAAGTTTCTCTTAATTGCTCAGATTTTAACTCAGTCCCATAAAATCAAATTTGGTGCTGAAATCTTCCTTTTTGCTCCATGTGTGTTACTACTGATCAATATTTAAGAATTGCCTCCAAAAATGTTCCAATAAATCTGTGAGCATGCCCTCTTGTAAGGCACAAATGGAGGGCTATATGTGCACATTTAGCACATAAATTGTGGGTATATTTTGGAAGTATCTTTGAAAATTACTAACTGAAAAATAACATTTTGGGCTCAGTTATATTATAGGCAGAGCTGGTAGCACTGTAAACAGGTGAAGTTGCCGAATGACTCCCACTATAAAGTCCAGTTTTCAATTGCTTAAACCTTTGCCAAACTTTTCCTATCCATACTGAAATTTTCCATGCTGGGCATCTGCCTCAAGCTGAATATTTTTGGAACGTTTCTACAAAAGGAGTTCATCAATTTCTCCAAACAAGGTTATGGAAAAATATATTGGTTTGCCCATCTTAAAACCATTTTACCATATTTGTTGCAAAGTTATAATGCCTTCATTCTTTGGAGCAGGGACATGAAATTTGGCAGGAAGTCACCTTTGCTGTTCCCATGGAAGCCAGCCCAGATTTGACCAGATTATAAACAGAGTTGGGTGGAAAGAGGTTTTCCATTCTGCATTGAGGCAAACCTCAATGCAAGTCCTATCAAAAATGTTTATGAAAAACCAGAAACCAAAACGCTAACATTCTGGTGAACAGTCACATGAGATGTGGAAGTTGCTCCTCTGGCTGATTCATAGCAGGGACTTAAACCTGGGTCTCCTACATTCCAGGTGAGTGTCCTATCCACTGGGCTTTTGGCTAAACATCTCTCTCCCCTTCCCCGGAGAAACCTTTCCACGAAAAGTTTAGGTTCCAACAAAGAAGCATTTCCTGAAAACAAATGTTTTGTCAAATAACTCCCAGCTACCTCAGTTTATAAACCTTGGAGGGGTGGGGGAAAACACAGCTCACACATGCTCAGTAGAGACTTGACAAGTGAACTTTCCAGATTCCGTCTGAACTGGGCATGCTGCAGCCCCAAGCTTCAGGGAGGTAAGCAGGATTTTCCTTGCAATTGCCACTCCTGGATGCTGCAGAACCAAGCATCAGAACTGAGACCAAGAATACTGACACTCAATGCTCTCCTTGCTGGTGCCCATGCAGTATGGCAGCCTGTCTGGAACGCAGAGGGGACAGAATGTGGTGGGGAAGGC